TCTCCCGACGTTTATTCTGATAAGCGAGATTTCACTGCACTGACTCCGAGAGGCACGCGAGAAGCCACGATTCCGGTCTTCGGTGGAAAATACGATTTTATTAAGGTGCTACGTCGTAGTGTGTCGCGCGACGCGCTTTAAGCACGTCGACTACGTTAATTATGCCACTTAAATTAGGATAAGGCTGTCTTTGAACATCACGATCGAATAGATCCGCCGCGGAATAACACATACGTTTTTCTCTCGATTTCTCTTTCCTGATTTACTTAATTGCGCTGCTTAATATTTGCATGTCCATTCAATTCTATCGTGGGATACATGCGTTGAGTTAGTGCGTTGCGTTTCATTACATAAGCTGAATTAATATATCCTCATGAGGGGTAATTAATAAGCCGGTAAGTCGGAAAATCTTATAGTAAATACATTATGAGATATTAGAAGATGCGGTAAACTAAAAATGGGTTCGAGAGATAAAGAAATACCTTGAGTCTCAGAAATGCCTTGACTTGTATACAATTCTTAACTGCAACGTGCAAAATGCAACGCACTAAATGCTAATTACAAGCTGCTCACATAAATAGGTATTGATTTTTTATGCAATATACTAAGTTGTATTAACTGGATTTATATCAATTGGATATATATACTCTTTAACAGTTTTTTTTTCTGATTAATAGTGATATTAATATGTCAAAATGTAGAGAATTTTCTAAAAATATCGCGTAGCAATTTGTGAATTTACATCCTACAATACATTCTTAATTATTATTATCTTAATATTTAAAAAAATTTTTTTTCAATATAAAAATGATATACTAATTAGTATACTCATTAGCATAAAGATTAAGATCTATTGAAATTTCACAGTTTAATGACTTTAAATGTCGTAGAATTTATAGACTGAATAAAATTCAAAAAGTATGATTCTTGTCTTAATATCCATAATTTTTAATAGATAATCAATGCTGATATATGTCTTATTTTTTTTAATATTTACTTAAAAATATTTTTAAAGATGGATCGCAAATATGGTTCATCGACACCATGTAATTTATTCCGAGTCGCTGCCAGTTGACACCCGCCTCCTTTTCTCGTTTAACAATACAGTCAAGATGATTTTGCAAATACCGCAGAAATGTTCAACTCGACCGATATATCTAGGGAGTCTCGAGACCTTTGACGTGCAGGCGGCGCCGGTACAATCTAAAATTTACAATTCGCGTCTCGATCGCCCGCCTACGTTATTCACGCATGAGCAGTCCCTTCGCATAACTAAGGATAAGATAGTAAAAACGTCGCGCTAGTGGAAGATATATTTAGCCTGCAGAACAAGATCTTAAGCTTATTAAACGAAAATTCTGTCTTGATACATACATTAGCATCACCACTAATCAGCAAAGAAAGTGTTTATGCTACAAAGTATTTAAAATAAATATATCCTATTAACATAAACTAAATTTACAAAATATCCATCCATCACTTATTTATGCAAGCTGCCATCCTGTGATTAGCATTCAATGCGATGTATGTTGCACTTTGCGGTCTCTCTTTCTTTCTTTCTCCCTCTCTCTTTTTTTCTCTCTTTGACAAGCTGACGTCGGTATGCGTATTTCTAAACTTTCGCCGACTACAATCGCAAAATCTTGATGATTCAGATAACGATTAATCATTAACATCCGCAACGCGACATTTACGGGCCATTATCGATAGTCCCATGCACATCGAATTAATTTCCCGGTCGGCAAGGAAAACCGCCAGTCTCAGTTTACGTCGCAATATCTCGATATCGAAATCGCGAATACGTAATGCTGTTTCTCGTCGTTAATGTTACCCACTTGATGTATAGGACGTAATTTTCTTTTAAATCTCTTGGAGGTAATTTTATATTAATAAAATAAACAAAAAATTCAAGAATTGAGAAATAAACTGCTACAACGATAATTTATTGTAAGCAATTATATTACTAAGGAAATCGTATTTTAAAGATATTTTAATTCTGGGAAACAGCTTAATATGTAAATAAATGAAATCATCCAATAAAGCTGGACCTCTCCGCACGTTTGCTTAGGACATCGTACATGATTGAACTACTGCATAAGTGTAGCATGCGCAATTGCAGGATTTGAAATGGCTGTTTCCGTGACTGATAGCAATAATCTGACAGGTGCATCAACGTCATTTATGTCGCCGTTGAGGCGATCCACGTTAAACGGAGCGTATCATCTGTAGACGAAAGAAAGAAGTAGGTGGCATTCCATCACAGGAAGTTAATTAACATCGTGGACGGCTCTCTCGAGAGCCTCAGGTTGAAACGAACTAGATCTATCTAAATAAACCAGAAACTCATGAACAGCGCGCCGTGTCTCGCGGGTATCTATCTGCGTATCTGATGCCACTTATGACGTATGCTTAAACTAACGCATTGCTTACGAATAGTCGATCTTCCAGTCAATCCTCATTACCGATGAAATTCATCATCCCTTTCTGCGTTATCTTCATTGGCAGAAAAATAACGTTTTTTTTCTACACAGAAGGACTGAAGAACTTTGCCAAGATATCTAAAAATTTGAGAGATTTGTACATACAGATCTGAAAATATTATTGTGCAGCCAAGCTGGTGGCTTGAATATTAAAAATTTTGCTGTTATCGTTCATCATGCTTGAGTATTCTACATAATTATTTTCATGATCCAACAAAATCATTTATATTTAGCTAAATTTTTTGATACTTCAGCAAATTCAGTCTTTTCGTGTGTAAATCAGATAAATAAGATAATTAATCAAAACACGTTTGAGACACTTGTTCCAATTATGAACGATTAATATACTTTCCTTGGAATTTAACGCAATTATCCAAACCATACGAGTATTGAAAAATAAATTAATATGGGAAAAAGAATATTTCTCATTTCCTTTAACATCTCATATAAGGTTTTCGCGTCAAGTAATTAGAAGAGAGATTTACGCATCGCGTAAACCGAGTTAAATTATGATACGCAGACCGGTCGTTTTAGTACTAAGCCGACGATACCTTAGATCCTCCATCGAGATCGCACGATTCTTTCCCCCCCCCCCTCGTAACGGGATTTCGAGCGACTGTAGATTACGCGACCGGTAGAAACCTCGGTTATCAGCGCGATGACGAGAGAGCGTCTCGGATTCGCGAGATCCGGCCGACGACGCTGAATGATTGCGATTTATGGGGTTCCTCATAGTAGCTGGCGATCTGACGGACCGATCTCAAGTGTTCGCAAGCGGAATTTGTCGACCGACTCAATCGTAAAGGTGCCGCCACAACGAGGCGTGTAAAATCCGGATTTCACACATAAATTTCACAAGATCATTTGTCTCGCTCGTCAGGGACATTAAATTCTGATATCGTATCAAAATTTTCTCAGCTTAGCGCGGCTTCTCGTCGCTGCTTTTCTTTACTTGTAAATATCTTCATAACGTTTTAATGCGAACCGGAATATTACGTCGTACCAGGCTCGAGTTATCTCGCGCGATGAACTTCACTTTTGGTGCTCTTTATCGTCTCTGTTGAATCCAATTTACACGCCGGTAGCTTTGCTTTTTGCCTCACTTTTGCGGCCGGCTCTAAGTTGAAGTTGCCCGACATTTCATTTAATCGCCTCAATCAGTCTATGCTGCGCATACTCAATTCGATCTTCTATCAGCAATCGTTTATAGCTTCTTAAGATGTTAAAAATAAATATATTTATATGTATAGAATCAGCAACGCGATACTAATCATTCGGGATTTTTTTCGCTTTCTTTTTCTAGTCTTTACACATTATAAAGATATATACGAGTATAAATATACAATTATGATATAAATAAGTATTTATGAAAACATACACTTTTTATGAAATTGTACTTCCACAACTTTAAGCTTTAACTTTTACGATTTGAAAATTACTCAAGAAAGACGAACGAAGATCGATGCAGTGTTTGACGATCCATGCGAAACAATGTGCGCTCGTAAACGTGATCGTAAATTAAAATTAGTCTAAACGGATTACGCGAACGGTATTCTGCAATAAAAGTATGCTTCAGTACCGTAAATCTCAGGCAACGTTTCTAAACTGCCTGTCAAGGTAGATAAGTGCAGCGTACTTAGAATAGGCTGGGATAAATATCGCGAGTTTGCATTAGAGTAAGATGAAGAGCCGCGCATTACTCTTCGCATTCGTGTCTTGCTTGAACGCAAGCAGGCATGGGACTACCTTCGTATCGATGTATGTAAGGCCTTCAAGGCCCACAATAATACTGTGATTAATCTGTTAGATGGATACGAATAAGGTGCATTTTATTACCGTTTTAAATTAATAAAATAATAGAATTGCAATGCAATTCACAAATAAAATCGATTACGATATTTATAAGAAAATCATCAAATCTTTTTATGGGAGCATTTTAATCTTTTTCAGATTGACAATTTATCTGTTTTACGATAGAAAAGAAAAATATTAGATAATTCAATGGGAATTAATCTACATATGTTTGTTCTATACTAAACATAGCTATAAAAAGTGGATACATAATTCGTAAGACAAACTTTACAGCTGTTAAAATTAATAGCGTATAAATTGTTTCTAAACTTGACGCAATTCTCTCTTGAAAGAAATTAGACTTATTAATATTTATGCGCGACTTATCTTATTCTACTTATGAAAAAGTCCGAGAGATTATCGATTCTTTCATCGAACTTTCGTATGTCATTTTAATTTCATTTTAATAACGAAAAGTATAAATGCGTGATAAGTTTTTATAATGAACATATTCCTAAATAATTTTTAATTTAAAAACTGGATATTTTATTTGTGGTTTTAATCGAATTTCTAAATCTCCTTCGAGTGAAAGAGACATGTTTGAAGATAAATGTCTTCCCATAGCAAGCAATGATATAATATCACGGACTTACTTCGTATCGCGACAAAAGTCAGAGCCCAATAATAGAATCTAAAAGAAAGCATGAGCATACCGATGACGGCACTTACCTTTGCAGCCATCCGCCGACAAGCCGTAGTGGTCCACGTTACAGCGATCACACCGGAAGCCGACCACGCTCGGCGCGCACCTGCACACACCGCTTACGGAATCGCAGAACCCGTCGATGGCACCCACGTCGCAGTTGCATTCTCGGCAACCTGCGGTCACGTTCCCGTAGCCCTCGATGCACGAGGAACAGTCACGACCGGTGAACAAAGGCCTGCAAGGACACTGACCGGTTGTCTGCTCGCAATGGACTGAATTGCTACCAAAGGGTGAGCAGTCGCACGCTGAAACACAAACGGTACCCATGCTCGTAATATGTCCTATTAATGAAATTAATGATATGTCCTTTAATTTAATTGCTATGTTAATTTATTTTGTAGTGGAAAGTCCCTGACTGTCACTATTTTTGGCAGATCTGTCATAAGCATTCGATAAATCTTAGTAGCAGTTTATTGATAATTATAATGATATATTAGTTAAATGTTGGGGGTATAAAACGCATTTCAGCAATATCGTGTCAATAATTATGTTACTAGTAGTAACTTTCAATACAAATATATTTTCGTGTAAAAAAGAAAATTGATATCAAATACGGAAGACAGAAATAATTTTAAAAATATCGAAATCCGAGATGACTATTCGCAATTATTGAACAATTTTAGAGTTTACAGAGATTGTCGTAAAGTATGGAGGTACTTACGCATACAATTCTGTTCCAGAGGATTTCCATAATGCGCTTCCTTGCACTTCTCGCACTTCCAGCCTTCAGTATTGCCGCGGCATTCCAAACATCGACCCGTTTCCTGGTCGCAGGCACCACCGTTGCAAGGACACCGTTCGCAAGTACCGCCAGGTATCACAGGATTACCGTAGAATCCTATATCACAACTTTTCACCCAAATCGAAATTAAAGCCTTCCGTTTCGATGATAATATTTTAATAATTATTACTCGATTGTATTCAAAAAAATGCAATGACGTCTAACAATTATAGCCATTTTACACTATTTTTTGTTATAATATGTTAAATTAAACGTCTATTCATATATTAACCCTTTCGCCTACAATATCGTGTGAGACTCGTGGTAAAGAAATCAGGCCAAACATGAATATTATGGATGAGATCCGTGATATGTCGTTTGTACAAAGTTTAATTTTTTTTAATTTGTAAGAGGAAAGTCTATACTTTACGATGGTTATCATGACATTTACGAGAAAAATTTTTTTCAAACGTAAATTCCAAAACATTTTATTGATTATGGCACGTGCCATCGGAACTTAAATCGTAGGGCAAAAGGTTAATATAAATTTTTTATTCATAAGATCAAAATATAGCCTTTTAAAAGAGTATAAAATTGCTAAATGCAATTGTAAGAGACAATTGTAATTAATTAATTTACTATGAATAATGTAATTAAGGCGTTTGCATATTTATTATTAACAATTTAATCATTGTACTTTACAATTTTATAAAAGATATTTATGTAAAATATATATGTATTATTTATTTTCCTTACGTTTCGCAATGATCTCCGGTATATCCTTCAGGACATTGCGTGCACACGTATCCGCTATTCATATCAGTGGGATCGTCAAGCTGACAACTCGGACTGAAATTGTTGGAGTCAACGAAAAGTGGACACGCGCATTTCTTACAGTCCTCGCTGGTGCCTCTCGTTGCGATACCGTAATATCCTGTAGCGCAACGATCACATTTTGGACCTACCGTATGATGTTCACACGTCTGGAAATTATGCAAACGACATGCCACGTAAATTAAAATTAAATATTAGTCTAAAAACCGCCGGTATAAATTAATTTTACAATTAAAAGTTTTAACTCTTTCAATTAATGGCAAAATTATTTATTTACTAAAAAAATTAAATATAAAAAAAGTGATCTAAATTAAAATCGCAATAATATAAAAAATTGAATTCGAGAAAAAAATAAAGAGTCAACTTTGCATATCGTTATTTTTTATTGAATTTATAAGTTTTAAAAATTTAACAAAATTTCTTTTTTCATCTTTATATTTATAAGCGGCTTTGAATAAAAATAATTTTAATTTGGGTTAGTCCTTGTTCTATCAAATACAAGTATGAGCATTTTGTTATTTTTATTTTACTTTTTTTCGGTAGTTTTTCACATTATTTTTCACGAAAGTATGTGTATATAAGTGTAGTGACGTAAATGAATATGAGTATCCGCAGTGTGTTGAGTTCGAATCCATGAGTTTGCTAAGCCCAAATGACTGCGGATTAGTCATCTCTGTGGAAAAATTAAATTTTCCTACAGAAAGCTAAAACTAGTATCGCTATCTGCACGGCATGAATATACAACGAATAGGTAAGTAAAGGATTTTCATTGCTGAGTCGGTAAAATAGCTCGCGCGATCTATAGATCCCGTAATCTATATAGCTGCCGCAGATCACAGGATCCATGTGAGTTCAGGTACTTTAAGTATGCTGCTATACCGGCTGAAGATCAGCCACGAGAAATTAATTTCAGAGTGGCTACGTTAAAGCCAGTTGCACACTAGAGAACTTTTCTTTTTGTTTGTATATTACATCATATATTCTTGCTAATAAAAAAAATTTTTTCTATATACTTAGTTATTTTAATATATTACTCGTAATATTAGAAAATAATTTATATTTATTAAACTTATATTAATTGTGCCAATTTATTAAGTCCATTATATTAATAGGTAATTGATTGTTTTGATGTATTACATTATCTTTAATATTTTTATTATGGACAATAAGACATCTAACAGCAGTAACTATTTTTCTATTAGCTTCTTGTATGTATATTTTGGTTTCTATTTTATATATAAAATAAAATTAATAGAAACTCACCCCACATTCGCCCATTATGAGATCGCAGGAGCCCGCATGACTATTGCAGTCACATTTCACGCATTTCTGACGGTCCTGATGATCGGAACCATTGATGGGCATCTTTACGTATCCCCAGGCACAGTTCTCGCAGGACATTCCTGTGTATTCCTTGGGACATTCGCATATTTCGATCAGATTGTCGGTTTCGCCATCCGGTGATAATTCGCCTACCGTCAATATAGCAGACTGGAGACTAGTAAGAAATAGAAAGATTGCTTCGTTACGCTTTACTATAAAGCTAAAATCCACGCGCGAGATGTACGCCCGATAAAGAGTTGGAGATTTATGCACCTTCCTTCGATTTGCTCCGAATGATATCGCGCCCTTATCATCAGGTACTTGAGATCGGCGAGAACGCGCATCATCTGCGCCCTCGTCACAGGATCCCCGCGAAACTCGGTTCTCCTCAATCTGGTCGGGATGTCCTGAACGTCGCTTCGCACATGAAACCAGCCTTGCTCTCGTAAAGGCACCGCTATTTCAGCTTCTTGACCATTGTACTGTTCCTCGCCGTACGCTATGCGCATCCCATTGTTACCCTTCGCGAGTGCGTGAATTGTACGTTATTATATATATGTCTATTTTCTTCCTAGGGCTTGGATTAAATGTGCTTGGAAAAATGCGAGAGCGGATATTTACAACTAGGATAACGTTGGGCTGCGTGGTCGGTTTACCACTGGTGTCACCTCGCATGACAACCCACGTAACGGAGTACGTAAGATTGCTGCCGTACGAGGATACGCGATTCCCCGTGTAAATCTGTGGCGCCAGCCAGAAAGGACTGTCATACTCGACGTCGAACGCTGCCACAGTTAGCCATTCGTTGTCCATGTCCAAGGTGGGAACGACTGCCCGAGACGCGTTCATGTCAGTCACCAACCAGTTCTCCAGTGTAGAAATCTAAGAAAAAAGCAAGTCACACGACCCGTCTTCCTATTATCGCTTTTTTCTTTTATCTTAATTCCAATTATTTTTCGCGAAATCGTATTTAATAAAAAAGAGATAACTGATTCCTCAAGGAATCATTTAATTATATTTTTCAATTTATGATAATTAATATTATTCATAATCTTACACAATTAGTAAAAAAAAATAATTTTATTAATAAAGTTTCAATAAATTATGTGCCATAAAGGCTCTTATGTATGTCTATATTATAACGTAATTCGCGTTTTTTGTGCGTTTCAGTTCGACGTCATTGCTGTCATAGTAATTGCGGGTCTGCAATTTATTGGCGAGAATGATAAACTGTAATTGTCTCTTTATACACTTTATCATGCACGACGAGAACGTCGCTCAAGATTAACGCCCTAAACCGAATGATATGCCCGCGAGGAGAACATTAACTAATCGTTTTAAATTTTACACCTGTCAACCTGATCTTGACTCTTGACAAACGAGGTTTTCCGCTATAAATCAGGATAAATCTTATCTCATATACGTATAGAGTTACTCAAGATTAACTGCTCCTATTAACAAAATGTCTCAATAAGCAACGAATTCCTGTATATTTTTCAACTAGGAAAATTTTCCTTAGACTAGACACTCAATTTTGATAATGTAATTACTATAGTTTCTAATTCAAATTCATTAGGTAATTAGATTGAGTAAAGATAATAGAATTACACAAAGAAAACAGCGCAAAATCACAGAACTACACACAGAAAAATATAAACACTACTAACTTTATTTTAATATTTAAGTTTCAAATATTTCAAAAGTTCATGTATCCTCAAATCTATCAAATTCACAAGCATCAAATTTATTCAAAATAAATTCTGAATCCTAGAAATTTAATACTTTAAACAATATTAAATTAAATAAATTGATTTACTTATTATATAAAATTTCTTTCGCGCGCGCGTGATAACTTTATAATATTTTATGATATTCTTAAAAAAAATTCTTGTTTTAAATACATAATAATAAGTTATTCAAAATTGTATATCTTAAAACTATCAATAAAATTTTTTGTTAAACATAACTTACAATTAATAGAATAAAAGTAAACTAAGTAATCATTTTTCTTAACAGTATAGAATGAAATTTTTCTGTGTGTACAACTTTCAGTATTTCAAGTTTTCCTATTCTAATAAAGATGTAGCATGTTAGAAGTTTCTTTTAAATAAAGACTTACAACTTTTATATAAAAAAAAGACTTACCATGCTGTATTGTAATCTCGCAGTAGTACAGCGATCTGCTACGCCAAAGCAATAACAGGATATGCAGCCATCGAGATCATCCTTCGTGAGCGCGAAGTATCCGGGTTTGCAACGATCGCAGAAATCCCCGGCAACATTCGCCTTGCACAAACAATCGCCCTCGCAATCATGGGACGGCAGGATCCCGCGGGAATCGCAAGGGCACGGCATGCAATCGGGAAATTGCCGATAACCGGCAGCGCATTGATCGCATTTATATCCTGAATATCCCGGCTTGCACTCGCACGCACCTGCTACCTGGAGCACGATTGGTATTTAGACCATTTAGGATCGATCGTGAGAACGGCCCTGTTTAGAGATTACCGAGATAATCGATACGCGCGTAAATCATGATCGCGCAAGCGATTACACGCGGCTCTGAGATGAAGAGAAGAACGACGTTCCTCTAAGATTTAGCAAAAACAACCGCGGTAAATTTACGTTGGATAACGAAGAAATAAAAAACTTTTAATGCTCTAAGAAACGTTAATTAAAAAAAACTTTAATACGCACGAATTTATTTTTCAACTTGTTGAATATAATATCGTTCCCTCTTATCTCAAAAGTCACATAACTTAAAAAAGTTCAAGTTATTATTTTTGCCGATAGTATTTGATAATTTTCTATATCCAGCTAAAAAAATTATTTTTTTCCTTTTCTGTGAACTTAATTTTTTTTTAGAGGTGTCACTTTTGAAATAAGAGAGTAATTAAATGTTTTTGTTAGGATATTTATGCAATTGTGAAATTCTAGCATTCTCTTACCTTTCCCATACGCGTGTAAGAATCGTCAGGAGTGCAGTAGCCTGTACTGCCACGTATGTTACAGTCGCAGGGCAAACAGGGTTCCGATGCATCAGGTGCAACGCCATTCGGCCTGTAGTAGCCAACCTCACATTTTTCACAGTTTATACCGGTCGTATGTTCCTAAGATTTTGCAAATATGTCTCCAAATGTATTCGTAATACCTTATTTCTTAATTATATATATAATCCTATTTTATTCTATTACTTATCCGATATTTTCAATATTAAATATTAATAATTTCATAGATATTTATTAACCGCACAAGTAAAAGTTAATTTCTAAGGACACAAAGAACTATAAATATGTTTTATTTGTATAATTTTCTGTAGATAATATTCAAATCGTACCTTAAGTACGTAAGTGTATGTAGGAAATACTTGGCCTTAAAAAATTGAGAGACTTTGAGATTATTACTCAAATATTATTCTGTAATTAATTACTCTCTTTTAAAGGATGACTCGTTTTCCAGGATGCGTGCGCTTGTCACTTTAGGACGCATTTAATTGCGGATAGTATCAATTAAATGGAACGCGTTTGCGTTTCATTTAACTTCTTATTATCTCACCGAGCAATTGACACACACGCCACCGCCTCGGTATTTCCCACGGATATCCATGGACATTCTCCTCTCGGCCACTTCCTGGTCGTATCTGCAGGACGTTGCATGGCCATTGCAGTTGCACTTCTCGCAGTGAAAGCCCTTGCCAGCTGTGCCGGGCTTCCACGGGATCTGATTGTACATGGAGCAGCATTTTTCGCATCTTTCACCGCACGTGTGGCGCTCGCATTCGCATTCCTGATGCTGAGAGATAACGTGAAATACGCTTATCAGATGCCGCGAATATCCGTGTTCTTAAGTTACGCTTATCTATTAAGTCATACGGCGAATACGCGCGATCTATTACAGATATGTTGCAGATAGGCTACAGGAGGAGGCGTTTGCCAGTTATGCTGCAATATCTCTATGTAATAATTTTGCTCATTCTTGAGTCTGTTTGTGGAAACTTGTTTATCGCAAAGTTGCTTGGGATTTATGTCATCGTTCTGTTTCTTTGACTTGCTAATTATTATCAAGAAATTAATAACATGACAATTTAATACTTATTGTTGGGTTCTTCATTAACGTTCATGATATGATTAATTTAACACGTATACATATCTATTAGTCTTAGAATTTACGTTTTAAGATACATTTTTTATTTTATTTGTACTCATTGTGTTATTTTGACACTAAGAAATGTTAAATATTAATTTAACATAAAATACTCAAATATAATTACATTATCTTAAATTAATATTCGGACGTGTTAAACAAAATTTTTCGACAAAAAATTTTAACAACAAGAGTATTAATACAAACATGTTTTACAGTGTATTATGTATACCGTACCGAGAATGATATCAAAGGATTAAAAATAATTTAATTATATTTATTAACAATTTTTCCTTCATCAGTTGATAAATTTTGTGATAAGTAAGTTATTAACCTGCAATCGCTTTGAGACGCAAAATTAATTGATTGATTCATTGATTAGTCATGAATCGATGTATTCAGTAATGTTACTCCGGATGTTACCGCATTGCCGGATCATAAAGACGGGACTTCATAGACGCGGTCGCCTATCCGAATGTGCAAACGATATGCATATAATCGCAGATAACTATATTGCCAAGCATAGAGTAGAGTTCACATTGCGCTGGACATTATATATTCGGTTTACGAGTTTCACTTTGTCGTTTAAAAGATTCAGCGAATGTCATAATATCGTGGAATTAGCAGATTACCCAATCACAGAGGAAACTATAAACAGCTCAAAGATTTGAATACGTTTTATCGTAAATTCTAAATTTTCTCGACAAACGAGGACCATTGTATTCTTATTTCATAATATCAAATATTACGATACATATGATTATATTTGAGTATAATGAGATTATAATGAAAACAATTACAAAACCGTCATAATTAATTGCAATACCACAATACTTTATACACGAAAAGAACAATTTTGATGAAGTATCTAAAAATTTAGCTAAATATATATATAGATTTGAAAATAATTTTGTTGAATTATTAAAATAATTATGTCGAATGTTTAAGTAATGCTGGAAAAAGTTTTAATGTTCCAGTAATCAGCTGGAGTGTCCCACATGATCATTTTGATCCAACAAAATTCTTAAATTCTTTTCAGATCTAGTTAAATTTTTTAATATTTCATTAAAATCGTTCTTTTATAATGTAACAATAAAATCAATAATCATCTTCAAGTTATAAATAACAGTTAATTAATGATTAATGATTAATATCACCGGATAACTCGCTTTCTCTCTGTCAGTTACTTTGCATTGACTTCGTATTTATTGGAGAGTACATTGAATTGGGCCGAAGAAATCGCACAAAGAATTAGCCGAAAATAAATTGCGGCAGGATTAATGAGCTTCGATTTCACCGAAATATCGCGCGTCCGATAAACGTGAATGCATGCGGAAGAGCGAAAGGGTTAACGCGACGCGTGTGGCCTTATCATTGGCGTGACAAACGAACAGGCTACTCCGGTCAATTGCAATATCCCTCCATTAACACATGCTGGGTATTATTTACTGCCGATGATAATGGCTGCCCCGTCTGCGATCGACAATCAAACCCCGATTTCTGCAATTACTCTTCGCCACGGCGACGTTTAATGAACCTGAATTACATTTCATCGGAAACCATAATGTTTCGGCGCCGTTATTCTCGAATCAAGATAACCCGGCCTCCGAAAAATGAAATCCTTCTGATGCCTCAGAATGGTTGGCCTTAATTTTTACGACCGATTGTTTGACTAATTCATCGCTCGGAGCAAATCTTTCTCTTTTATTAAAAAAAAGAAAAATATATAAATTTTAGGTTCAATAATTTTCGGTTTATATAAGTCAAAATAAATATACTCAAACATAGGAATCAATAATTTAAACATTAATAAATCAAGAACATGTTTACGCATTTGTTTATGATTCATAAATTATATGTTGCTTGAAAATTGCGAGAAATAAATCTCACGTGAAAATTTCTCCTCTAATTCGTATGCAGTCGACTAAATAGAACGTCATTAAAAAGAACGATATTGATGACGCAATAATATGAATGACTACATAAAAAAATAATTATATTTTTTTGTAGATAAATCAATATTTTTTTTAAACAGAATTTTTTATGGAACTGAAAGATTTATGGTATATAAATAAACCATAAAATAAATTTAAGGCATTTTAAATCTTCCACCGAAAACGCATGAAAATTTTGTACATCAGGCAAGAAAGAAATTCATGATTTTCTAACGTAAAAATATTAAATGATATATCTATGTGTATTTGCAATAAAAAAATTTAATTTAAAATATTTTAAAATAAAGTTAAAAAAATGCTACCATAATTCATTTTTTTATCTCGCAACATTTAAAAAAATTTGTTTCAAACGTATGGTAATTAATGTTAATTGACTAAAACACATTCGAGTGATAAGTGCAACGAAAGAAATATCAATTGTGAAAGTGACCGTAACATTGTATGCGGACTTGATAATGGCACAATACTCCCCAGTGTTCTCGTTCATAGTGATAAACAGGCAAGAAATCAACGTCCCCTATACTCTCAATCATCGCGCGCATCTCTTTTTTGCTTTCACGTTGTATCTGCCATTGCACTTTCCTCAACAATTCCCATTTCGATTCATAACAACGGACGCGCGCTGAATGAGCGTGTACTTAACTCGTATCAAATAAATAAACGTCGTGAAAATTACACGACGAGTAAGCTACAATGCAAAGGTCAATGCCCACTTTACGGCGATGTAGTGATTCTGATGCGGTAGAACGTAACGTTGCATCATGAATGACATAATGAATGTTCTTCACATTACGCGTCCACGATTTCGCGAAATGTTTGCAAAATTCTCGGAATGTTGAGTACATTGGCAGCGACACAAAAGCAAGTAACGCTACAAATTGTAACGCTCAATGTAACATCTTTTGTCATTCTGCAGGTCTCGTGAATAAAATTTTGAAAACCAAAACGGAAAGCAAAAAATTTTATACTTTCCACATATCTCTCTTTCATTTATTACAATTTTAATTAAAGACAAGAATAATATTTCGTAATTATAATATAAAAAGATTAATTTTTCTAATTTTAATGTTTATTATTTTATCAAAAAAAGATTATATTTATATTATATAATATATAACAAATAATTTAAATAATAAAATTAATCTCTTGGTGAACTTTATTTTTTTAAATAAAAATATTTTTTAATTTATTTAATTCGTATTCTGTACAAATAATGTATTTTGATAGCGACGCTAATGCAACATGAGAAAATAAATGTTGCTTTATGAATATCGTGTAGGAAATTTTTTTAATTTTGAACTTTGCACAGAATAATCGCGAGAAGGGATTTCGCAATTTTAGCGACAGCGTTGTTAAGAGACATAGTAAACTATTGTTGTCTGTTAAAGCCGGCTGCATGGAACACAGAATATCCATTCTTGGATTGTAGCGACATAAGGTGAGATTCATGTTTCTGCATGCAGCTGCGAGAGAGAGAGAGAGAGAGAGAGAGAGAGAGAGAGAGAG